GATCAAGAATTTATAGACAATACATTTTTAGTATAAATTCTGTGAGTAGTAAATTAGTTCATTCTAGTTTATTAATGTCTAATGCAAATAAGTCTGCAAATTCTTTTAGTAATTGTCTGAATCTTTTGCCTTTATCTTCTGAGAGAGATCCAATGTTTAATGATGTTTCTTTTAAAGTCGTATACTCTTCATAGGGAATAAGAGTATCAATAGTATATACAGGTATAGGAGTGAGAGTTAAGTCATACATGTCTGTGTTTTCAGATAGTTTTTTATCTTGCCTGAGCAGCATATTGAACAACATGCTGATGAGCATACTGGTTGTCTTCTCTCCATATCTGTATGAGTTGTTGGTTAAAAGTCTTAAGAGCTTCAATCTTTTGTTGTAGCTGTCCAATAAGTTGACTCTGGTGAGCTACTTGCTGTTGAAGCTGTAATATCATTGATAAAGAAATATTTAGTTCTGAAGAAGTAATTAGAGAACTAGAATTTGTTTCTACTACGAGAGTATCAGGTTTGGATTCTAGTAATAGATTATCAGTTTTAATATCAAGATCGTTATGGATAGCATTAAAATTTGAGTCTAGGAGGTCTGGTTTATTTGGTTGCAGCTTATCAGTTTCATTTAGTATAGTATCTGATTTTGAGTTTGAAACTGATATGTCTGGTTCTTCTAGAATTACTTCTGGGTTAAATATTGAAGGAGGTGTAGTGATATATTTGATATAGCAGCCATCATACTGATCAAGCTTATCTTAGTACTTGACATGAAGGTATTCTTTACAAAGGTCTACAAGGTTAGTGAAACTTCATCAAAGGTTAGCAAGAACTAACTTTTTACAAAAGTCTGGGTGGCTAGTATTAAAAGATTGGTTGAGGGTCTGTTGAAGTTATAATACTTCATTCTTATTTAATAAGTTTAGTTCAGCTTACAGAATAAGACTTATTTCCTCATTATTTTATGGCTAATTGATTCAGTCAGTCATAAGAGGTTCTAAAGCTTTGGCAATGTCTTGGTTGCTTTCTTGCAAAAAGATCTTTGTAAGTTAGAAGATACAGGTCTGATTCATTTCATATTAAGATCCTGTACTTCGGGTGGAAATGGTATAGTGCTAAATCTGGGTCCAAAGATAGTAGTTAGGATTATAGAGAATGTCTTAGCTAGCCTTGTATATATACATATATTCAAGATTGCAAAACCAAAAGACTTCAGTTATACTCTCGATATTATGTATTCTGAATCTAGTATCTGAGTATTAGCAGATTTTACAGGTGACTAGAGTTTCTTGTCCTTCACCTTGGGTATAGAAATAGATACTTCTGGAGTTATTTCGATCTAAGTCATAGTAGAAGTTAACATAACAGGCTTGGTATACAAGTTGGTTATCAAGGATTCTAAATCATTTAGTCTTTTTTGGGTTCTTGTATTGGCAGTAGTGGTGAATGTGTCTAGCACTATGGTAGTAGACTCTTTGGGCAGCCACTTCATTTGGATCACAGCCATATTAGTATATCTGATTCTGTTTGTATAGGGTTGCATAAGGGCAATCGATAGCAATATATCCTTGTTCATTGTATTCATGACAGAAATTATTGTGGCAGTCTTTGTACAAGTAGTTCTGTTTACAAGTTCGACAAGAGATACGTTGTGAGACTTGCATAAGACAATGAACTGCAATATGTTCAATTCCTTGGCAACAGTTATAATGATTAGTAGAGTATTTAGCAAATAGGTGAGCTAGTGAATTGCAATTTCACATACTCGAGGAGGATTTTGAGAATAACATCAACAAGGTTAGTAGATGGTTTAGTTATTAGGGTTGTCTGTGTTTAAGTTGGTAGTTTCAAATGCATAAGCCTCTTTAGGAGTTAAGTATTCCTGTTTGTAGAGCTCCAATTCATCTGAGTTGGTGACAGTAGGTTGTGCAGGAAAAGGTTGATTATTTTTATAAGTAGTAGGGGTATAGTACTTGTGATTCTTCTACTTAAATGAATAGTAGCTATTCTTCTGGTTGTAACTGGCTTCAACTTTCTTGAACCAGTTATTTCCAAGAAGTAGGAAGTAGGAAGTAGCAGCGACTACTTTGACAGTAATAGAGATAGTAGCTTCTTCAATTTGGATAAGAAGGTCTCAAATAATTCCTAAAGGTTGAGAGGAATTTTCAGTAACAAAAATGATAAGGCTGATTGAGGCTTGTTTGATTTTAAGTTCTAGTTCTTAGACTACTTTATGAGCAATCATACTAATAAATGCTTCACTATTTATAATAGCTTGGTAGAGTCTGTTTCTAATTTTGATATTGCATTTGATAGGTGTGGTAGTTGGTTCAGGAGTAATAGTCATAATTTTAGCTTCTTGGCTTAGGTGAACAGAGAGAGCACTTTGAATAGAAGGGTTGTTCAGAGGGTTTCTTATTTCTGTTAGCTTATAGTAGAAGAAGATTTGGAGTTCTGGTCAAGGTAATTGACATCAAGATAGTAAGGAGAAGGTGAGCGATTTGAGAATCTCCTATAGTTATTAGCATAGAAATAGTAACTATCTCATTCTCGAGAATAACCTTGATTTTGAGAATAGTTGTCACAGCTTCTAGATCTATTTCTGTCTCATGATCTACTTCTGTTATAGAATCTAGAATAGTTTCTGTCTCAGCTTCTAGATCAGTTATAGCTGCAGCTATTATTATAACGATCTCAGCTTTTATCTTGTGATCATTTTTGGTCTCTTTGTTTAGCACGATATTGAGCAATGAAATATTCATGTGCTTATAATAATAGCAGGTAAGGTGGTTGTCTAGTAGCATAGCGATTGCAAAAAAATTGGGCAATCACGTATCTGACGATCATTTCTGAGATCAGACCCAATCTACTTACTTCGTATATATATATGAGTGTCGCTAAAAGAAAACCCGAAAATTTAAATATAAGTCATATTTAAATTTTCAGGATTTCTTTTAGTGATACTCATATATATATATATATACAGTATATGCACATATAACCTTGCATTTATATTATATAATTCAAATAAACTTCTTATCACAAACAATCCTGTTTTGATCCAATATTCGATAGTTTCTTGGGTCTTGGTTATTTTATGTTTAAAATTTAAATCTGTTATTACTTTTGAATAAAATTTTATAGTTTTCTAAACTTTAAGACCAGAATTTTTTTTGTCTAATCTCTTGAATAATTATTTGAATATTTAATGAATATTCGAATTCATAAGATGTTTACTTTTCTGCCCTTGTATTTTTAAAGACCATACGTCTAATATCATGCTTTTCTTTTTTCTTTGTAATATGCACATTTTCATAAAAATTATTTATAAGTATTCATAAAATTTAATAGCTTATTTAAATACTTATATTCAACTAATAAATGTTCCTTATATTTATATACCAATTAAAGTGAATAAATTTAGTAGGCTCAATTCAAATGCTTAAATTAATATGTCTAAACTCACGACCAAATTAACATGAATAGATTACTATACAGCATAGACTAAAGACTAAAATACCCAGATACTTTACAATTTAAGCTGTATATGGGTATTATAGTCAGAAGGATACTATAGTTAGCATAGAAAGTATAAGTTGTACTATATAAGCACCGCTGTATATAATTAATCTATCTTTAGTGCCTGGATATTTTGCATTTCAAAGTGCAATTTAATACCTGAGTACTTTATATTCCAAACTTCTAAAAATTGTGAGGGGTATTATAAAAGAGTCTTTTAGTTCACATTGTACGATAAAACTGTAAATATTCTGAATTATTAAATGTCTTTACTAATTAATGATTATTTTTATTATATACTTATATTCTAATAGCCAAATTATTCATAAACCTGAATACTAATTTATTACATATATTAATAAATATTTATTATATTTGTGAACTAAATTAATGTAAATAAAATAATTGTCATAGCTGAAGCTTGAAATTAGGAACCTCGATTTAAAAATATAAATCTTACCAAAATTTACTTATATATTTTAATTAACAAAACTAACTGAATCTAAAGCTAACTATAAAAAAAAGCTAAGAAAATGCATTCCAAAATTTTTTGAAATTTTCATATTAAAGTATCTAAAATTTCAATCTTCAGCCGTGACAATAATTAAGCCATATTACTTCAATAAACCCTATACCATGTTTTTTACTCTATGTTTTATCCATAAATGTTGCATATTTATGAATTTATATCTTCAAATGGTAAAAATTATTTGGTCTACCAAGTCATATTGCAAATTCACAAAGTTTTACAAAAAATAAAGAGATAAAATGGAAATATTCAAATAAATTTTTTAGTAAAAAATTATTATAAAACAATCAAAAAAAACCAAATATTAATATAATTAATCCTTATACTTACTTTCTAAAGAATTAAATAGTTTTTTTTTTATACTAATTTTGAAATACAGTAGTAACAACAGAATTCCTATAAAATGCTTTATTATATTGGTTTTCTATTTTTAAAATTTGAATAGAAATATCAAGTTCTAATAAAATAAAATAAGTATAATTAAACAAAACTAAAAAGGTTAAAATTTGAATTTGTTAGATAATAAAACAATACTTAGCAAATTAGATGAAGTTTCTATGATTAATATCCTGAATCTTTTGTATACATGTGCGATACAAAGTATATGGGCTTGGATAATAGATGCTAGAGATTCACTAAACATTCTAAATATCTTGGGGTTTCTTTTTTGATGAGTTAAACTTCTGAAATATTGCATTCTTAAAAAGTATCTAAACCAATTAAAGTAAATAACAATAAATAAAAAAATTCGGTTATGCTATAATTGAAAAATTAGCTGTAGCTCCTTTTTTTGATTCAGCTAAATCAACAATTTCATATTTTTCAGCTGATATATTGTGATTACAAAGTATGCAGAATAATATATATAGTAATAATTATGCAGTACGTATATACAAAGATTACATATAATTATTTTAAATTACTTACAGTCTTATTATAGTTAGTTAATTATGAAATGCGTCAGCCGAATCAAAGTACCTACTGTTACAGTGATATCGTCAGTATTAAAAATTTATTAATTTAGCCGAGAATAACATATTCATTATCAATTTTGTTAAGATATTAGCCATTATTACTTAAATTTTTATAACCCACGAAACATATATAAGCGACTGATTTTGACCTTCAAGATTCTATACAATTGTATTGAAATACTTTCTGTTATCGATTTATCTATATCTACATTACTATTAATAAATAAAAAAATAAACAAATAAAAAATAAAAAATGTTTACTTCTAATATCATCAATCCTGAAGTTACTAATATTGCCAATCCTAAAGTTACTAATATTGCCAATCCTGAAGTTACTAATATCGCCAATCCTGAAATTACTGATATCACTAATGCTGAAGTTACTAATATTGCCAATGCTGAAGTTACTAATATCACTAATTCTGTAGTTACTAATATCACCAATGCTGAAAGAAATCAAGATCAAGATTGTACTCGTTGTAGAAAAAATAAACCAATTACTAAATTTACAAGAATGCGCAGAAGTAAAATTTTAACATATGCTATATGCAACACCTGTTCAGATCAAAAAAACAAAGTAGATTAAATAAAAATTCAAAAACCAAATTATCCAATAATAAAAATACTTCTTTACAATTAAATGAAAATACTTCTTCTTTACTTTTAAATGAAAATACTTTACTCGCAAATGAAAATATCTTTTTTTTATTCTTAGATGAAAATGAATCTATATATATGGATGTAGATGATAATGAAAGCAATAATGATAAGCTTCTATATGATTTTTGCGATTTTGAAGAACTTGTTATTGCTAAATTTAGAGATAGCGAAGAAAATAATGAGCAAATTAATTTTTCTATAATTGTAAAAATTGAAGAATTAGTTAATAAAGATATGTTCAATGATGATTTATCTTCAGAGCTTGATCAAAATGAGAACGCAAAATTTCATAATATTGTCAATACGTTACTCATGCCTCTTGAAGCAGGATCAGAATATTATTGAGAGCTTCGAAATCTCTATATAAGTAAAAAAATAATCAGTATACAGAATATGCAATAGCTCATATAGGTTGCACTCAAAGAATTGACTATCAAAACAAATGTCCAGATGATTAGCCTATAAAGTGGATTAGAGAAGTACGACCTGCTATTGAACACTATTAATGTAATAGCAATATAGTAGTTAAGATCGATCTGTATGAGCAATGAGCTATAATATCTGTTCAGCACTGATAGTCTATGAACATCTCACATATAGAGAGACCAGCTTATCTACAAATACTATAAAATGGATACAATGGCATATTAATCAATGATCATGAAAAGTCAAGTTTTATCAATAGCTTTGTGATGAAAATTTGATCAATCCATTACTCCATACTTACCAACAAGTATATTATTGGATAAATAAATTTTCAACAAAGCTTTATGTAACTGATATAAGTAATTAGTTAAAATTCGCGTTAAATTTCTTAGAACAAACGGAGTTATTACATGCAGGATATAAAGTTATTCAGTACCAGGAAAATGATTTTATATGTTTACTGGGTTTTACTACTTTATTCCTGCGATATATGCAAAATAATATTAGTGAAGTTATTATAGATTCAACATTTAAAACAAATCAAGAAAGATCCAAACTTTTCATAGTAAATAATAATTGTGGTGGATATGGTGTTTCTCTTGTATACTTGTACTTAGATACATATTCAGCACCAGAAATACAACTCTTAGATCCTAGAAATGCTGTGTATACACGAGTTGGCATACTTAAAGAATTTTTTATTAATCTACGAAATGAAGGTATTCTTCTAGCATTTGTACTTCTAGATAAAAATTTTGGTGAGATTAATGCTGTTCAAGAGGCTTGGTCTCGAGTAGCAATAATTCAACTTTGCTTATGGTATGTAGAGCATGCTATTGATCACAAGTTAAAAGAAAAAACGATCAAAAAGTCAATATATACCTCAAAAATCTCAAGAAGCATATTTTGAGTTTAGCTTCATTGATCCGAATTGGCTTTCCGTTAAGCAGCAAGACAAAATATGTCCTAAAGAATTTATAAAAGTGTTACTAGAGATGATTAAAAAATATGCACTACTATACCCACTTATTCCTATAAACCAAAATAATTTTCTCACGACAGAAGAAATTAGATCTAGAAATATTTTAGAAATCTATCAATTCTATCATCAAAGAAATCTTAATAATTTGTAAGGATATTTGCGGGTAAATTGATATAATTTACAGGATTAGAATCTATTTACACAGACGGCTTATTCAAAAGTGATATCTATTTCTAGAACAACTATGATCACCAAATCGCATTGGCATGTTCTTAAGTACAATTACAAATATAATTGTAATCGGCTATGTTTAAATCGTCTAACACAAATTCTTACTAGAGAACTAGTTCCAGATATAGAAAATTCTTGGTGAAGATTTTGTTATAATCGTAGCTTTCTATCATGGTAGAATATGTTTAAATATGATTGGAAGTTTGATATAGAAAAAAATATTAGTATAACTGACAATTATCACACTAATATAGATGATTGGGTTTGTTCTTGCCCTGCTTTTTATTTAGCACTTACTTGATATATAAACACTTGGTAAAAAAGTATTTAACAGAAAACCTATCATTTTTTTCTTAATTTCTTTCCACGATTCGTCATCATGATTATCTATTAATTAGCTTTAATAAAGTAAGCATTCCAAGAATTAATTTAACAAATAATCCTTGGAGTAATATTCCACATAATGATCATTTAGAATTTATTCTTGAGTTAGAAGCAAGTAGTAGCCAAAGTAATAATATATCTATTTCTGAGCATTATGCTATTGTCAAAAGTAAAAAGGCGAAACTAGTTTCAGATGCAAAAATATTTGAAACATTAGTAAAAATTATTAATGAAAACATTGAAAATGATAAGCTTTATGAAGCGTATAAGGCTCTTAAGCAGCCACTTGTTGCCGAAACTAATGTATATACTGAATCACTCAATTCAAAAAAATAGCAACAAACTTGAAAGCCAACAAAAAACAGTAAATTGGCTTTTTGGCTACAATAATTTTGTATTAGTTACAAAAACTTACCCAAATATTTTATAAAATTGAATTTGTATTCTTTTTTTTTGTATTATTATTATGTAATAAAATATTACAATTATCATGTTACATCTATTACATAATTTTATTGTAATTGTAAAGAATACGATTAGCGTTAGCAAACAACTACTAACCAAAGTTGATTTGACATATCGATATGAATAAAAAATAAAATTTGGTTAGTATCAAATCTTAAAAGTATAAAGATTTAGCATATAAAAAAATTTGTCTTACTGGATATATAGTGTAAATTAACTTTCCAGATAACTTATATGTTTAAGAGTACTTTTTCCGAATAGGATATTTCATTAAAAAAAATTGCCAATTGTAGCCTTATACGAGTATTAGTGTTCTCTATACAAAGAATTCTAAAGAATCTTACTTTCCATGAACTTTGCTTAGAAGACAAGATATAATGGACTATATGCAATTACAAGATATTAAAAATGTTTTTCATTTAAAACTTTTTATTACACTAGTTTTAAATAATTTAGAATTTAAATTTAGTTCTTGTAGTGTGATTTGGCTTGTTAACCATCTTAAAGTTTTGGTTTATATATCAGATACTTAAATAAGTTTAGGTAAATTAGTAATAAATATCATATTTACCCACTTTGCCTATATTAGTTTGCAAAGTTTTTTTTTTTTAAAAGGCCGAATTATAAAAATACAAGACTTTTTAAATATATATAAGGCTAGGTGCTAAGAAAATAGTGATTTTTAAAAAAAAATTTTTTGTGCTAAGTTTTATTATATGGACCAAAAACCTATTTATTAATACCCCCGATTTTTGAAGTCAAGAATGTAAAGTACCTAGGTACTAAGAATGTTTGGGAATATAAAATACCTGGGTACTAAAATAGATTAAATTAATTGTACTTACACTATATGGTACTTATATGTATAACAATAGTATTATGAAGTATATAGATTGGAATCAATCTCAGAAATGATTATTGGCACGTAATTGTCTAATTTTTCTGCTATCACTATGCTACTAGTGGTTGTCTGATTCTTGATGCAGGAGTAGGGCTTTTGGTGTAGTGTACAGTATTAGTAGCAGGTTTTTGTTGAGCAAGATTGATGCTAAGTTGGGCAATCTGTTCAGTTAGTTGTTTGATTGCTTGGTCTGTATTTGTGGTAGAAGCAGAGATAAGTTTACTATTTTTCCAATTTTGAGTAGTGGTTATAGTAGCATTTAAGTTAGCAGGAGCTCTAGCTTGTACTCCAATAGTATACTCGGGCCTGAGTCCTTGGATGAAGAGTTGGAGGATAAAAGTATTAGAAAAACTATTAGCAGGGTCTACTCTGGCTTGTAATTTCTTAAAACAGGTTATATAAGCATCTACAGTATCTGTTCCTTGTTTAATTTTAAATAATTGCTTTTGCCATTTGATTTTTTGTTTGGTGTAGCTGAATTGGGTCTTAAAAAGATGATAAAAACTTCGATCTTGGAAAGCACTATCGTTGAAAGTATTGGGGCAGAGTTAAGACCTCATAGCAATTTCTTTTAGATAGGCAGGGCGAAAGTGAGTTGTTGAGCAGCAGTCTAGTTGTTAGCAATAGCAGTATGTTCAAATTTTTCTAACTATTCTACTAGGTCTTGGCTTCCATTACCAGTGAAGAAATTAATCTTCATGAGAGACTTTTCACTGCCAGGGGTTAAGACATTAGCCAACCAGGTTATTGCAGTTGCAGTATTGTTCAAAGCAGCAGCTTCAGCCATATTTGCAGAAAATGTGATAGGTGGTTGCTGTGGAGATACTACAAGTGGTTGTTGTAGAGATGATAGGTCATTCTCAGGTTGTTCAGGTTGTTCTGGTGAAAGTAAGTTTTTATTTTGTTGCTCTAGTAGTGGTAGGTTATTAGCTTGTTAGCCAGGTGGAGGTAGGTTATCTTTTTGTTGTTTGAAAGGAGATAAGTTATTTTGTAGCTTAAAAGTTTCGGTTAGGGTAAAGATATCTTGGACTGTACTATTTGAGCTTTCTTCTTCTTTGATAGATTCTTCTTGATATACAGTTACTTCTCGTTGTAGATAATGTTCTTCGATATATGCTCCAGGAATAGCAGCAAGATCTATATCTATAAAATGTTCAGTTAGTTCTGTGACAGGTACTTAAGGTACTTCAAATGTTTCTTGAGGTGAGCATAGAGGAGGTTGATAATTAGGGTTGTTGGTTTCATTTTGGTAAGAGGGTAAGCTAGGAGAAGATGAAACTGGGTAGATAATATATTGGACTTGGTAGCTAAAGCCATAAGTATCATCTTGTGGTTGTTGTCTTATAGAAGTGTCTAAGTTTCCAAAATATCTATCATATTGTTCTGGTTCTTTGTATCCAAAACTATAGGCTAAGTTGATATAGTAGTCGAAGATGGTTTGATATTTGAAGTTAATAGTAAATAAGGTAGTAAAAGTAGTATATCTTTAGAGTAATGCAAGAGCAATTTCACTGGGTTTTCTATATTTCTGTTATAGTGACAACTAAAAATAATATCTCAAATATTTGTATGAATAGAGGGTCTGTCTTGAGTTACTATAAGATATACAAGGCTAGTGGTGGTTTTGGAAGTATAACTATATGTACTTTAGGTATTAGAATACTAATTCCAAAATCTTTCAAAAGGTGTACAAAGAAAAGTATGAGGACTAGTTCTAGGTAGAGATAACAAAGTTGACAAGAAAGGTCTGGGTTTAAGGTTTGTAAAGTAGTAAAGAGAAAAGCAAAGTTTTGTTGATATTTGTGTTTGTGATTTATAATATATTCGTTGTATAATTCAGTGACTCTATCAGTTATAAAGCAAAGTTCAAATGCTAATTGCTAGCAGAGAAAGAGAAAAGAAAATAAAATAATATTCTTGGGGTTAATTCTTTACCCTATACTTTGGCTTGTAGGGAATCTATCAAAATCCTTTAGATTGGATCCTTACATCTATATTTTGGCTCGTGACACCGGTCGAAATTTTTTAATATAAAAGGCTGATATTTGGAAGATAGCTAGATGAAATATCTAAAAACAAATATTCAAATATTGTATAGATGATATAAATATAAATAATATAATCAATGAAATATCGGCTTAAAATCATAGGAAGATATAAAGAT